AGCATGTTGTCGATAGGGTACGTGTGCGTCAGGTTCAGCAGCAGATGATGGATGTAGTTGGAGATGTGGATGGTGGGCAGACCGCGGCACTTCTCCTGCATGTACTCGGCGATCCCAAAGAGCTCATCCTTGTACCGCAGGACCTCGGCGCCGACGTGGACGACGCACATGCTGAGCATGCTGACGTGCCAGACGAGGGCGCGATCGCGCGGGAGCACCTCAGTGCCGCTGCTGCGGTCCGACGCTGCGCCATTGTAATCGATCTCGTTACGGATGTTGACGATCAGCATGGGAATGAACACCTTGAGCGTCTTCTCTGGGTACACCTTGCACAGGGCATTGCAAATCCACGCCATCGCATCACGGGCCTGGTGGACGACGTGGCCCGAGACGAAGGTAGCCAGCTTCTCCAACGCCATGTCAAACAGCTCCGGCGACAGGGACGCAAACAGGGGCGTCAGGGCAGCCGGGAGGGTGTTGATGACATTGTCCTCGGGCGAGCCCGAGCGGAGCTGGCTCGCGTCCGGAAGGTTCTCGAGCAGGGCAAACACCTTGCCCAGCAGGGCGAGGACGAACTCGCCTAGGCCGGCGGTGGACGAGCGCAGAATGTTGGCCTCGTCCTCGTCGGTCAGCTCGTCATTGTAGCAGATCTTGACGTCCTGCCCCTCCTGCTCCATGCGCTCCATCTCGGCCTGCACCCAGTTCATGGCGAGGCTCGTGTCGTGGATTTTGTCGTCTTGGCGGGCCAAGGGCACAAAGGGGATGCTGTAGGCGACGCTCTGGATGAAGTTGAGCGTGTACTGCGTCTTGCCCAGATCATTGGCGTCGATGCCCGGCAGGGCGAGGGCCAGCAAGGCGGTAATGTGGCAGCGGTAGCCTTTGTGGTTGGCCATGATATTGGCAATCATCTGCAGGCCGCAAAGGCTGGACGTCGTGCGATGGACCTCGACCAGCCCTTGCAGGCTGGGATAGAAACGCTGCAGGGCGCCGGGGAGCATCAGATCGGGCTCGAGATAGGCGAGGCCCTGCAGGGTCGAGTAGTAGTAGTTGACAACCTTGGAGCTCTTGGCAAAAAGCCCCATGAAGGTCACCTCCCTGAGGGCGAGTACGAAACGCTTCTTGAGCTCGTCATTGATACGGCGTTCCGGGGGCACGTCCAGCTCGCCGCTCTGCTCGCGGTTCCAGCGGGAGACGAAGATGTCGGTGAGGTAAAAGGTCAGCTGGGCCAAGAAGTTGGTCCAGGCGCCCTGGTTCGAGGGATGGAAAAAGGTGTCGATGGATTCCAGCAGGCCCTCGAGATTGGCCAGGACGGAGTTGTCTCCGCCGAGGCAGAGGGGAGAGAGGGAGTGGGCAATCCAACGGGCGACCATGTACGGGACCGGGCACTTCTTCTTATCCCTCTCCAGGTAGACGCCCAGACCGGCGGCGTAGTCGAGTGTGGTGTACGGCGAGTTGGCCTGCCCGACGGGGATCTCGGTGAGACGCAGGATGGAGGTGAAGATGAGGTCCGACTGCTCCCGGGTGAAGATGCCGTGCTCGGTAAAGGGCACGTGGGTGCAGCTGAGGTGGTCGCGGGCCAGGCGCGAGAGTATGTCGATGAAGTAGACGTCGAAGCCCTTAGATCGGCTCATCAGGGACCACAGGTGGAAGAATGTGGGCAGGAAGTCGGCCGGCTGGGACTGGGGCTCGGTCGGGGGCGTGGGGCCGGTGGGCAGCATGATGTTGATCGCACCGACGACGATGTAGGCGTTGGACATTGCCGAGGTGCTGAAGTAGGGGAGCAGCTCCTCGAGGATGGCGCGGCGCTCCTTGGGGTCGAAGTAGGCGCTGGCATGCAGGCAGAGCTTGAGGAGGTGCTTGGACGATCTCCTACGCGATCCCTGGTCTGAAGCGACCTCTGAGGGCATGACCAGAGCCTTGAGCTCCTTCCACAGCGGGCGCCAGTCGAAAGTGAGGTCTTCGCCGGCCTTGAGGTAGT